ATATAATACAGATTAATAAGATGCTTTCAGAGAAAAAACTTTAAAAAAGTAAGATCAATTTGTGTGTGTGTGTGAAACTAAACTAGGAAGAACTAAGGAAAACTAATGGTGAGACTATGCAGATGTGAATCTAGTAGTGAGCAAGAGGTTGTGAGCAATATAGTTATCACAAAGGAAAACTATGCACAAACGAAAAGTGAGAAAGCTTCTGGCGAGAGCAAATTTCTGACTCTCATAAACATCTGACAGGATTTGATATTTATCGTGTTTTGATCTTCTCACTGAATACTGTGATTGCGCTTTAGCACAAGTAGAAGATGGTTTCTCCTATCTTTCATTTACTATACAGTATATATATAACTATAAATATACATAAAGTCATATAAATTCTGTTTTATTAACAAATTATAATAAAGTTCTTTATCCTTTTGCTGTTTCCACAGAAAACAAAATATTATGGTATTTGTTTCCACAGAAAACAAATACCATAATATTTTGTTTTTTTTTTGTATTCATTATGAAGTAATTCTAATAACAAAAGTTTTTTCTTTGCTAGTAGTAAACATTGTAGTCAAACCATTTTGATTTTTACTTCCATACATTCATGCTTCCCTGTGACAAGTTCAATGAGAACACGAGAAGTCATCATCTCCTTGTCACTTTCTTCGATTTGCTTGATCTAGGATGTGAAGGAAAACTGGAGTAGAATATCTTGTGAATGGATGCTACTGGACTCTTGTTCCTTGTATAGGAATTACAAAATAAAAATCAAATGAAACAATAAACATTGTTTCATTTGATTTTTTCATTTGAAATGGAAAAGTAAAACAAACAGCATTTAATTTATATATACTTTCATTCTTTAATTATAAACTTCATCAGGCTACATAAATCAATTACCTGTAAATTAATCAATATTTTCTTTATTTTTACGTTGCTTTGTACTACCCTATTTCTGCACATATTTTTCACACCTGTATTTCCAAGAAATGTTTTTAAGGAAAACAAAATATTCAAGTATTTTTTTTTTTTTTTTGTGGAAAATGTAAGACTTCTCATACTTAACCATTTGGTGTAAGAGATACAACCTGAGTCAGTCAACAAGAATTTTTATGATGTATAGACACTTTATTTATCCTCATTCCCTTGTATAGGTTTAGGAGTACAGTATCTTTGTACTTGCTGGAGGCTATGGGGAATATGGGCAGTTGGTTTCCTATCCCCATATTCACCAACACAAGTTACAGTTAGAGTTAAAAGTTAATGAGCATTCATGTACTAAAAGTAAAGCAAACGGTGTTTGGTTAACTCGAGATTTAATCCTAACGCTAACTTGTGTTGGTGAATATCGGGGTTAGTCATACTGAGTAGAGTGAACTGCTACTTTGTGAGATGGCAATAAAAAAATAACAGTTATACTGCATAGTATAAAATTAAAGTAATCTTCAGAATAGAACAGAAATCAAGAGGCAAAATGAAAATTTGGCATCACTGAGGCACTTGTTTGCTACTGACATAAACAAAAAGGAGCTCTAAGCAATGCAAAGTCCTATTTGAGGGCATTTTGTGGTCCCAAGAATAGAAAGTATCTCAACTTGAGGAAGAACTGTTCAAGTATGTTGAAGAAACATGCAACAATGGCTGTACTGATATATTGCAATCATATACTTGAAATATTGTTCAGACACAAAATATTTCTTCTGTTGAATTTAAGGCTAGTCAAGGATGGGTCAGCAGATTTATAAAGAAAAATCTTTAAACACCTATTAAAAACAGCTGCATACCGTTTGATGTGTGAGAGTTCAAAACATACAATGAAAATAAGAAATGGGAAATAAAACTTATGAAAATGGGCTGTCAAGGGGTATGCAAGTCAAAAAAGGTCGAAAACTGCTGTTGTATAGAATTGTATAGGACAGAAATGGGCAATCTTTTAAAATGACAAGTGTCCATCAGAGGATGAGTAGATAAAACCATTGAATACTGCTGGGTTTGTCCTCACTACTAGATTGGTCACGGTTTTCTTTATATCTCTAATACCAAACAGGGAAGAGTTTCTCATAGAAAGTTCTTTCGGGAGGCATTCTTTCTTGGAAGATCACATTTATGTTATATTTCTTTATCCCATCACTCTTTAAATGGCAAATAAAATAAAATGTAAATTACATGTGAGCAAATTTATCTTTCATCATATATAGAATTATTTTTTAGGACTATTAAAGTGGAATATATTCAATCTATGGACTTTATTATACAGTCTTTTACAATCTATGGATTGTAAAAGACTGTATATGAATAGCATAGTATAAAGTAATAATTCTCAAAGTTATTTGACCCATAGGCCACTTAAACAATATCACAGAAGAACTGTGGACTACCTCTGCCCCTTATCCTGTAATTATCATTTTAAATGTATGCCATATTATTTTGTCTATCTAGAACCTAATGTAAAAGATATATGATGTGTGCAAATGTTCTTTCCTCTACATAAAACTGCATTTTGGGGAAAATGACTAGGTTGGTCTGTGGACCAGGTGGCACATGCTCAAGGACCTCTAGTGGTCCACAAATCATACTTTGAAAACCACAGATAATTTTATAGCACTAGTGTAGGAATAACTTTGTATAGAGCTATATTGAGCTAATGTAAGAATGAGTTTGTACAGTACTATACTTGCACATGAACTGAGAAATTCTAATTCAGTGTGAAATGCTAAACAAACTGTAGCTAGGGTTGATTATGAGTCGATAGCTTGTTACACCCCTGTGTACAAGCAAAAAGTCAAAGAAACCATACCCATATGTGCGACTGTTTGAGATATTTGCCTCCAAAAATCAGTTTTCACTGTGTATTAGTACTACTGCCTATTCTCCATGCTCCATGTTGGTGTCGCTCACTGTCACTTGTACCTCAGTGCCTGTGTGGGGATGACCCCTCACACCTCTAAAACTATATACTCCAAGTACTCCAAGAACAGTCAAGTGGACTACTCAAAGCCAGCATAATCACATGGGGTAAATAGTTAAATGCAATAGTCTTAGCAGAACGACACAACTTCTGATTGCATATGACCCAGAAGTAGGCCAATTTTGGGAGGGCCTCTATCTTACGAAAGGTCACACATAGAGGTCTGGTTCCTTTGACTTTTTTTGCTCCTATAAGTATGGTCTACAGTCCAAACTTCATTCATAGGGTACATTTGTAAAGTCAAACGAGTTAAACGCATTAGTAACAAATCGTTCTAAAAGTAGTAGTCTCACTCAGTGCACATGCTCTGCGGTGATGACATTTCAAACAAAACTCTAACAAAGTTATGAGGGAAAGAGTTAGTTTACTTCATTAAGAAAATGGCACCCAACAATATTGATGTTCCTAAATCTACTCAATTGTTTAAATTGTGAATTAAAAGGTGAAATGATTGAAATAACTGTCCACCCAAAGCAATCTAAGAAAAATATTTCAGATAAGGCTGCACGTATCTTCAATTTTAGAAACATCCATTTAGTTATAAACAAATCATTCGAAAAGTCTAACGAAATAAGAATAACAATGACATCATTCTCGTTTTAACTCATTTGACTTTATGAAGGTACCCATAAATATTGCATGCTTTCAGCCATACATTAAGCTGATCATATGTCTACGTCATCATTGCAATATCATCACTTGCTCACTAACCTTGTTTATTTGTATCACTTCCTGTTATTTGTTACATCATATCTTTTCTCTCTTCATCTATAGTTTAAGTTATACTATTTTTTAACTTTTTTCTTACATGTTGTAATTAATACTTAACTCTACTCTTAAGTTAGTTATCATGTTAGTTGGCTTTTGTATCTGTCACCTCTTCACTCATTCACACCATTTTCACTAAAGTTGTCATACTTCTTACTACCATCTATCTGTAATTATTTATGTATGTATGCCCATTCATTTGCATAACCCCATTCTTAATCCAATTATGCTCCGGCGACATCGGGAATAAATAAAGTATACAGGTATACCTCGACTTACATCATTTCAAGTTATGTCGTTCCCGATTATATGTCGTTTGTCAAAAAAAGTATATGGAAAAATAAAAATCAAGTTTAAGTCATTTTATTTGACTTTACGTCTGTCCGCCACAAATATTGAAGTCGTAATATCACTAGAAAAGCATTTAAAGCACATAAAATCATATTAATTAAAATATATACTGTACATTTACAAGTACTGTATGTACTGTATTTACAGTACATGCATTCGTAAATTTAGATTAATTTTTTTCTGTACTATATTAAAAACTAAAATTTATTTGTTTGTAAGCTTAAAATAGATCCTTATTAACCATATATTATTAAAAATTCATTAATAAATAAAATACAGAACCGGGAAATGGTAATTTATGGTTTAGCCTAGTGACAAGTAGATTCGGAGACAAGTAAATTCGACTTATGTCGCTTCTCCTGGAACCAATTACCGACGTAAGGCGAGGTATACCTGTATATAAGTAAGTAAGCAATCTCCGTTAAGGTCCCGTCTCATTCAGAGATGTAATTGTATCATTATTTAGTAGAGGACTAGCTTTGTATAGAGTTGTACAGGGCTGGTGTAAGAATGATCTCGTTTAAGGCCGTACAGACAGGGTCAAATTTGCATATAAGCTAAACAGGCCGCAACTCGGGGCATTGCATTATCAGTAGGTAGCTTCAGGCCCATTATTTAGTAGAGGGAAGCGCCTGTTATATATTATAGCTTAGCTTTGTATAAGGCTTTGTATAAGGCACAACAGTAGCAGGAAGCCCCGCGGAGAGAATTTTAAGTAAATACGATCTCGATTATATAACTTAAACATTTCGGATTTTAATTACAGATGAAAGAAAGCGAAAACTTAATTCCATCTACGACTTAATTCGCTTATAAAGATCTAATTCAATGTGAAATTCTATACGTTTGCACGTATTGCAACATTAAATCCTTCATATTTTCCTGTAAACACACGATAACTTCGACTCCTTACCGTTTTTAATAGCGTATTCGGTTGTAACCAAGCCCGTATTTCCAGTCGCACCGAAAATAACGATCTTCTTTGGGACTTTCTCCATTTTTTTCTCTACGAAAACATAAAAAAAAAAAAAAAAATTGCAGACGATCGTCGATCCGTTAGCGTCACTGGAGCGTACTGCGCATGACAGGAAACGAAGTCGGAAGCAGAAGATGAAAAGATGGCGAGAAATGCAGACTAATCGAGAATTCTCGTCGAAGATGTTGGTGTTATCCCGTTACGATAAGTTATAGAATGGCGACAGCTACATCATTGGATATATCTAGACGTAATCCTCAAGACGAATACGATCTAGTACAGAGGGTCGGCAGCGGAACTTACGGAGATGTTTACAAGGTGCGTTACCCATTGCCGTAATCCTATTGACCATAACATGGTTTTTAATATATACGTAGAGATTGGACGTAGAGAGTAGAAATTTATTAAACGGGCCAATCGTAAGTTCGATTACAATTAATCGGATCGGTGACAAGTTACGATTGATTAGGGGTTTACGTATTAGGGTTAAAGGATAATTGTCAAATAATTAACATTTTTTATTAATCTAGAGAATAATTTATGAATTATATAACTGGAATTTAATTAACTAATATTAATTTAAATTAAATTTAATAAGTATTTTTGGAAATTAATTTCATATTTGATGATTAATCTTCATAAATTATGTAATGACATCTTTCAAATTTTATTCTTTGAAAGTTTTTTTGTAGAAAAAAAAATAACATAAAATTTTATGCTCTGATAACATTCTTGCTGTAAATTAAAAAAGAAATGGTTATAATTTAATGAATCATTTGATAATTCTGTTAAAATTTATCTCCAGAATTTTATATTCTCTCCATTAAAATGAATGTGTCCACCCTTCCAAAGAGAATCTTAAGAATTTTCTATGTTTGGAGTCATTTCGGAGCTTATCAAATGTATTATGAGTCACGATATGTTCGACGTAATGGGAAATAATTCATGGTACAGTACATATTACATTCTATGATGTGCCACAATTGCTTTGCAGCTTACATATTTGCACGAAGCTCCATGCTAAGGTTAGAGGGCCTCGGCATCTCGAAAAGGTTTTGTATCAATGTTCTTGCCGGGCCTTGGAAAATATTAGTCGTTTCTGGATATACTGGATCGTATTTACACGTAAGACGAATAAGTTAGGGCCTTGGGCATTTAAATTTATTATTATTTACCAGAGAGGATGCTGCACCCAAGCCGTAGGAAGTCTAAATTGGGTTCGACTGCATTTAATGCAATGGTTAAGTGTTGCACTTCATGATATATGTTCCCCGATATTTATTTAAGGGATTACTAATGATAAAACCGACTTCGTAATATTATAATCATTTGCACGTGCCTTATTTTATTTTGTTTAATTTTCTTCTACAATTAATTTTCGTGTAAACAAACGTAATTTATTGATATTTATTCTATAAACTGCTGCAAAAGTTGTAAAATTTTGAGAGAAACTAAGATTTATTTATCTTTGAAATTTCTTTGGAATGATGATAATATGCTTTTAGAGTAAATGTTTAGATAGGAATTGGAACAATTACAGAAGATAATACCTTCATCTAAATGTTTCTACTTTATATCTAGTTGGACATTATCTAATGACTGACAAAACATTTTTATAAACTTTATACATTAATAGTACTATATGATCTCCAGGCTTTTAAACTAATTTCTACAATATTTTTTAATATTAGCAGAAACATTTTATCATCGACAATTGCATCATGTTGTTTATGTATATGATATATTTTTAATATCATAAGTTATCCAGTTAGATAATGAAATAATGATAATTCTAGTTGGAGAGCTTTGAATTTAATTCTGCTTTTAAATTGCTTCTTTGTTACAAACTGCATTCTTGGCATTAACAATCGAGAACAAAATCACATGCCCATATTTTTAGAGCACAGTGTTGTAAAATATAGTTTGTAAATAAAAGAATATTTTTGTAATTATAGTGCAAAATTGTTTAATCTGTCCAGTTTTATCTGCGGATAAACTAAAGTCAAAGTATCATCGAATCACTAATCAATCTAGAGAATGAAGATATTAGTAGTAGATATGACTCTTCTAGTATTATAACACATGTTTTCTGATTTTTTTAAAATAATGGTTTAAAATAGATAATATTTTCATGCTCCCATACTTAACTATTGGTAGTCATAAATATATATATTTTTTTCTCTCTAAGGTGCAAGTCTTCAACAAGGAACATAATTGATTCATAAGTTTTGATTATGATTTATTTAAATCTTTATAGAAAGATTAAATTTTTACTTCTGGATATATATAAAAAAGTATTATTATTAATGCTTGATGATATGAATAATCAAAAATTTATTTTTTTATTGCGTGAATTGCTATTAAATGATTTTAATAATACCCTGTAGTTAAGCAATGGATAAAATAAATTAAATATGGTAATATAATAAAAAGAAATGTGAGAAAATTAAACACAATTTTCTTAAATTATTGATAAGTTAAATATATAAAACTTTAAATATTATTTTTCTAGGATATATAACTTATGATACAACATGATACAAAGTTTATCTTAAATAATTTTGTGGTTAGAATTGTAGATTTAATCTTAAATCTTGTACTTTGATTTTAACAATTATTTCAATGAATCATTGCTTGTATTGTTTATATCACAATTGAAACTGTTTTTCCCCCCTTTCCATAAATAGAATTACATATAATAATTGATTAAATTTAGAACATTTAATTAATGATTTAAACATTTGTAAATAATAATTATTACATAAAATTAAAAAAAAAAACATATTGTCCATGTCAGTGATTTATATTTTGAAGTTTCGTGCTTTGAAGCTTTAATAAAAAAAAACATTAGAAGGTCTAATTTATAAATTATAGGAGGAGTAACTCTCATGATAATGAATTCATATCAAGGTCTTTGCACTAAAACATGAAGAAGGGAGGAATAAAAAAAAATGCTAAAAATACCTTATCCTGCAGATGCAATTTAAAACCTTTTAAAATTTTTTTTAACTTGTAAATTCCAAAAATAAGTCAATTCGAAAAATAAATTATTTAACATTAAAAAAAAAAGAATTTTCTCAAAACATAAGCCAGGAATCTCTTTTTTAACTGAATTAATTAAAATTTAATTTTAAAAAATAAGAAAATAGGCTTCAATTTTGTGAATTACTAGTTGACATTCATTCAGATTTAATTTAAATTCAATTTGTAAATATAATAAATGCTGAAGGAGAAGAAAATAATAAACTAAAATTGCTATATTTGCATATTTAATGTAGGAATTGACACAGTTAAGAATAAATAATAAATCTCTATTTTTATAATTTAAATCTTCAGTAAAATATTATCTTTAATGTATTTAATTTTTATATGGTTAAAGTTATTCTTAAGCTTATATTCCATTATAATTTTTAAATTAATTAATTAAATACAGGATGCTACATTAGAGTAAAACATTATGAAAAAAAATTACAAAAATATATATTTTTATTGCTGTTTATTGCTTTAGTTCGGAGGCAATTTGAAATTTGACACCAAGGTGATAATGGAGTAGAGTTTTGACATATTTTATTGTTATCAAAGTCGAGGATAAAGTAGGAGTGCTGCTGCACGTCTCCAGTTGTGTAGAGATAAATATTGCTTTAATATATATTAATTATAAGTAATAAAAATATTATTTTCGACTACCAGCTCATCGCTAATGGTTACAAAATTTCAGAATGACTAATAAAAAGAAAATATGTATATACGTAGACCTGTGTTTTTCGTATTCAATCCAAATGCGAGCTAATGGGCTTCTTGCCACACCCTACACATTAGCATTTTTTTTTCTTTCTTTTTTCCCCCGTTCTGATTTGATAATTCATCTATAAACATTTATCTGAAATTCTACAGTGGGATGTGTTGAGAATGCACACATTTTATCTCTGCATTTACATTAGCACACTTCTCACTTTCTCCCGTTAAAATAAGAGCTCGTGTGCTATTTCTATCACCGTTAATTTAGTTAAAGCCATTCCCCATACAGAATCGTTTTCTTGTAATCCCGTAAATAAACGAAACTGGATACGTTTCATTCACTCCACTCGCCGGATAATAATCTAAGTTCACTGGACTTCGAATTAATCACTTAATTTTTGATATATTTCGAGTGAATTCCGATCGATGCTCTTTAATGATTCATTACTTACGACGTTTATGCGATAGTTAAAAGTGTAGAGTGCCGATCAATCAGTCGAACCATTAATAATCGATCTCTAATGATGTATTTTCGTGTCCGATCCGACTGATCGATTTATTTAACGTCATAAGACACCCACATGACTCCAGATAGCAATTTTATTTATTTTTCCTCGTTCTTTCCGTTACGAAACGGTAACTTAATAGTCTAAATTCGATGTTGAAGTACTTGACTATATCACTTAAGGAAGATATTACAGAAAAAATTATAATTTATAGATTTTTACATGGCTTTATTAATGGGTTGATTGATGCAGTTTATCTCCCTCCAGCTTTCTTCCTGTAGCGGATTTTAATGTTTATCTTGTTCTATAGGCTATCACCTGTTATTAAGATTTTTTTCCATTACTTTATTGTGTTATATAGAGAAGGCTGTTGCCCTATCTGCACCTTTATTGATCAGTCTACTGGATGGCCTTGAATTTTATCAGTTGGTACGTGATGCTGCATAAAATTTTCCGTAGAAGTTCAGAAAATTAGTTAACCACTCGGCGTGCCATTCCGAATGTACAAAAATTATTATAAATATAAATCGACATTTAAAAACTCATCCGAACTTCCAATCTAATTAGCTTTAAAGTACATTTACCGAGATTACAGTTTAATTTACTCGTATATAAACTTAACGAGTTAATGTTTATGAAGTAAATTAATTAAATTTTAGACCAATTTCTTTCATTTCAGCGCGAATAATTCGCATAATTTAACGTGACATTTAGAAGGGAGGGGGAGGAAAGGTCATTTTTAACCGAGTTTTGACATTCATTTATATATATTTTTAAATAATTTGTCTTCATTTTAGAAGAATGGGGTAATTATGTTGTCGTGTTATACTCGTCCAAAGTTAATATTTATTATTATATTACACCGTACGGTCTTCTTGCTTTGTTCCGTGCATAACAGATGTTCCTTGAAGATTTATTGGGTGATATTATGCATGTAAATTAGACGATCTTTTATCATTAGATAAATTATATGTTAATTCGTCTGATAAACGTTTCATCATATTATTTAATGTCGTTTTATTAGTTGTATGATTTTGGAATATTTAATTTAAAGAAGGAATTCGTAAATCCTGAATGGTGGCCGCACTGCAATATGAAATTCAGACGTCTTACGAAACAATTCTTAGAATTTAATTAGCTGGAAAGCGAGATATTTGTATATTTGTATGCTTAAAATTGCCAAAAAAATAAATTAATTCGTTTTCTACCGTGTTTTATTCAGTCGTGCAAGGGATTTTCTTATGTACTGCTATGTATTTGCCTGGAAAATATGTTTACAATTGGTAAAATATTGACACTGACCTAGCATACATTAACACAGTTTTTAAATTCGATTTATTAATATAATTTACTAAATTATTTTCCGAAAAATATTCACTTGAAAACTGTAGGCATGTTTGTTTGCTGTATGTCTTCGAGTAACACCTGGATGCCGATCGTAGCACGTGACTAACGATTTCACCACGTGATTTGAACATGAAGTGTTTGCACGACGAGATAACAAATATTTCTTGTAGAATCGTATAAGTTGCAAATAAAATAAACAGATAATTGCTTAAATGGAAAATTTTAAAAGGAGCCAAATTTATTTTGAAAATATACCAAAAAATTATTTAAAATTATGATTATTCAATTTTTTTTCTCAAAAATTTTAAAAATTGTTTAATAGAAGTTACTGTATCTACGATCCTAATTAAAACTGATAAGGAACTATAAATTCATGAGCAGTTTTGAATAAAATTTTAGTCAGATTATTGTTATAGAAGTTATAATATGACAGCCAGATGTCTGAATGGCCAGATATGTTGGGCACCATCCCTTATCTGCCCTATTGTGGGCCTGGACAAACTCATAATGGTTTGCTAAAAAAGGCTCTCTTAGGGGTCACAGGGCAGAAAGAATTAAAAAATATATTATTATTTTTCTTTACGAAGGGAGATTAGATGTATTAGATGTAATGTGTCGGTCTACTTTTGGAATTGTCACGTTCATGCACTTATCTCTGTGCTTCTGGAGATTAACATGTAAACTTCTACTACTACTACTACTAGGTATTGTTAATGATTAGGCTGGAAAACCCATTTTTGAGGATACCAAACTCCAAGAATGGCTGAAAAGTCTCAAAGTCAGTGATAGCTAGATAGTTGAGGCAATGAGGTGCCTTTCTCAAGTGGTGAAATGAACAGTCAAAAGTATTCAAAGGTAGAAAAAAATGAATAAAAGTAATCTGAAATTCTGTAAATGTACTTTAAAATTGTTTATAAATACAGTGGGTGATCGGTTAACGAACAAATCGGATAACAAACACTTTCGCGAAAGATTTTTATGATCGGACAACGAACATATGTTCGGATAACGAACACTTCACTGAACAAACACAAGAAGTGACGTAAAATAACAAATACCGATTGGTCTTCCTTTGTCTTTAGGCAACAATTCGAAACTTTTCGGAACGCGGGAGACGTCGACATCGACGTTCTACCCAGTATATACTAATCGGATAGTATTCCCCCGAACTTTGAAACTCTCCCTTGTAATTCCAGCCTTTTGTATTTCTGACAGAAACAATTCTTTTACGTTTTCTTCTGAAAATGCGGATTTATGCCGATATCTGCTATTAAAGATCTTTTGAAGAAGTAGGAAGATGTCAGAACAACGGTCTTAAAATGGCATCCAAACCAAGTTGAGGTTAATAGGCCTAGGGATCTCTACAATTACAATGCTATT